GGGATCAGAACTCTCCACAGAAATATGCTGACCATTGACCTGCTGCCCTCTGAGCCTCTCGCTCTCTGTTCTTTATCGAGATTACCCGAGTGAGAAAATAACTCAGAAATCCACCGGCACATTGATCAAAGCATGGCACGCACCGAAGGAATCAGATCTGCCTGAAACACCCTCTCGTTCTGCCTGCAGATTGTGTACAGGATGGCAAAGACAAATAACCTGACACTGCAGCTTAATAACACTGCTGGCTCTTCCAGCTGCTTTCTCATTCAGTTTTGTTTGATTATTTCTTAACTTTAAGAAGGTCAAATCTGGAGGCAACTCCCCCCTAATCTGAAACCTCTGCAAAAGCTGCCTGTACAAGCCCCAGAGAACTGCAGAGCCCCGAGGAGGTAACGCTGCTGCTTATCAGGTGCACACCCTGGTGTGGCTGTCACCTTTTGGATGGGCTGGCCCCATGGACAGCGAGGCTGCCTTCAGGGAGAGCAGAGAGCCAGAACAAAGAAGACGGGACAAATAGACTTGCCCCTTAAACTTTCAGAACATCTTGGTTATTTGTGGGATTTCTCACCAAATTATCCTCTGTAATGCCTGCTCTCACAGGCTGCTCTCAACCCCTGGCTCCTGGCAGTGCAGTCCAACATCTCACCCGTGCTTACTGAGCTGTCCAAATGTGCTTTGCACATCGCTTCCATTAAATTATCACCTCCAGAACATCTGGACCGACAGATATTCTCACAAGACTATGATACAGGGCCAGAGGGTCTTTTGGAAGTGAGTGGTTATGGTGCTTAGGTTGTGGAGCACAAGCTGAAATGCTCTGCTGGGTGGGCTGGTCCCTACAGAGGAGCCAGAGAGAAGAAGGTCTAACCCAGCTGACATCCCAAGCAAGGAGAAAACAGCTGCCAGAGCCAGCGAGATGGCAGAAAACACAGAGTACTGTGTCTGTTACTTAAGAGCAGAGGATGCCCCCATCCCTTTGGGTGGAGTTGTCAGTCCACAGGAATATTGAGTAATTTAACAGGATACCTCAGGGATAAGGCAAGTATGAATAGTTCTGCTCACTCCTATACACTGTGTCCCCAACACCTGTAACCCCTGCACAGCTGTACAGAGAGAAGATCCCTGCTTCTTTTCCTCCCAGGGGCATTTCTCAAGCAAACATAACCCGGACATGTTCCATCCCAAAATAATCTGCCCACAGTAAAGGTGCTATAAAAAATATTTTATTTAAAAAATCACTTTTATATATCAGAGTACTTCACTTGACCTCATTTTTTCATGCCTGGTATGGATTTCTATAAATCAATTCTATCACTTGATTCTTGAAACATGTACTTACATATAAGAAGCTTAGAATCCAATTTAAATGGGTCTATGTTACAAAATGTTTTACTATACAGGCACCTAAGATTTATTCTAACACTTAAGAGAGGAAAGAAATTTGGGTACAAAGTCTAGACTGAGGCAGAAATCCAGATCTTCAGGCATTCCAGAGTTGTGGAATGTTCCTGGTGTACTAGGCAGAATAAATCCCTGCTACAAGAAAGGGAAAGCTAGGACTCACTATACCTGCATCTGTAACACTTTACCAGGGAGAAATCTGGTCTGAGTTATACTTTTGTTTTCAGTCTTTAACAAAGTGCTGGGTACATTGGAGGGAGGGAAGGAAAAAACTCAACTGAAAACCAAAGTCTGCAGTCAGTTAGACCAAAGAATCAAGAATAAATTTCACCTAGCTGCTCCTTAAAGAAATCGGAGTAATAATAATAATTGCCTAGAAACCCAGTACCTTTTGGAGTGCAAAATAATGTCTGAATAGATGGTGTAGTTCGACAGCAAGCAATCAGAAGTTAGACTGAAGGATTTTCTAACACAGCTCTGAAAATCCAGATGTGTCTAATGAAAACAGACTCAACATTTCATTATTCAAACACAAACAATACAGTAATAAAAACTAAATGCCCAGAGTGCTATCAAGAGGGTGTTTTATGGACTGCAAGCTACACATTTTGTGGGCTATTCAGGAAAATGCTTTAAAATTAGAATTTCAACTCTCATTTCTTAAAGACCCCATTAACACGTTTCTCACCCAGACTGTTTGATTGTGTCCCTGAGGATTTAGGGAAGTGCAGAACTGCAGCCAAGGAGGCACCGAAGAGAGGGGAGCTGCTTGGCTCTGCGAAGGGCCTGCTCCAGGAGCATGGATGGAACAGTTCTCTCCCAGCCCGGCTACTCCTAACCCTTGTGTTCACAGAAGGATGAAGAACTGGAGTCCTTCTCAGCTCAGCTCACACAAACTCCAGGAGAACTTCCAGCCCTGTGCCTGGATGACTGCATTTCAATGTCTGCATGAGAAAGTAGTTTTATTAAAACTGCTGAGAACAGAGCGAGGGCTTCAAAAGACATAGTGAGATTCCCGCGAGTTGGAATCCTCTAGAGATGAGAAGCTGAGTAACCTGTGGGTGATTTACCCTTGAGAGACACTGAGTATACCTGCTACTTGTTAAGCAGTGAGTAAGGAAGATTTCCACCACCTCGCTAGGATGGTGGTGTGTTTAGCTGGAGTAATAAAGTTGCTTTGACACACGTAACTGATGAAGTTGTGGAGGAAGGAAAGCTGTTTTGACTCTGCATGTCTGGTAGTTCTTGGCAAGGCTGGGTAAAAACAGCATTCTTGTCAATTAAGCATGACACGAAAGCAAATCAAACTGCTCAGAGCCAGGATAATGTGGTGTGTGAGCAGACAGTGGAATCAAAGGTAGTCCAGGTGGGTAGGTACATAAATGAGCTGGCTGGGAGGCTAAAAAATGGACCTTGAAAGAATGGCTTTGGAACTGCTCACCCAGGTGACATCTCGCTGCCCTGCCATTTGGTTTCTCCCGTGCTGGGACCACGAGCCAGACAGCTTTGTGCACGTTTGAGTAAGAGCACAGCGTCGTGTTTTAGTGGCACTAGTTAATTCACTGGGCTTTTTTGCTTTTGCTGGGCAGAACTGCCAAAAATAACCGAATACAACTGTGTGGTGGAAGAAACCCTGCTGCAGCTGAGCTCTTCATGGGCTTTGCCTCTACGAGCTGCAGCAGCTTGAAGAGGCACACGAAGAGAAGCACTGAGGCGGAGGCACCAGTTCCTCTTCATCTGCAGGAGCTGTACATGTGCAATGTACATGGTGGAAGCCATGCCTGGATGGAGCACAGCAGTCTCAGGGTGCTGGGACTCCGGCAGACACTGCTCCTGCCAGGCTGTGCAGTTTGGCACCCCCAGCACAGCAGCTCTGCCACGGCCTTTGCTGTGCCCACAGGCACAACTCAGCCTGCATCTCCTCACTCAGAGCAAAGCCTGGCTCTATGGCTCTCTGAACTCACACCAAGTACTCTAAGCAATCCAGAAGTAAGCACTGCCAGGTAGCATTCCAAGAGAAGGTAGGACTTGGGGAACACTTGTCAGAATCCAGCCTTTGATGCACATCACAAAAAAAAACCCCAGTCTTCATCCCTCACCTCGCATGTGAGATGCGGCACTATTGACTCTAAGGAGAAAGCACTCGGCTGGTGCTACAGGAATATGAGAAACACAACTCCTGGGTCTGCCATTTACACCTCTCCAGACCCGGCAAAACCCCCTGCTGAGTTCCTCAGTTCTTCTGCCCAGGTACAAATAACTGCAGGTGGGGCAATAAAGTGGAGACGGAAACAAATGCCAAGTAAGAGGAAACATTTTACATTTCAATAACCTCAGAGAGGAGAAGCCAGAGTTGGCAGGGAAGCAATGTGTTTACACACCACCTGAAGATTTCTCTTTCTCACAGCAGGTGTAATGAAATAATGGGTTTGTTAAAGGATTAGTTTTTTTTGTTCACTCATTCTGATCAGTCAAAATCACCTCTTTTAAATATACGTTCCTGCGATGAAGAAAGCTTAATGCTTAATTAAAATGGTGTTTTAATGACCAGGCTACCAAACGTAATTGCAAAGCAAAAGTTAACTGGATTTTTCAATGCAAAGAGTAACAATACCTGACAACAGTGCTGTACTCACCATCACCACTCCATCATATGGATTAGTTATTATTCATAAAACATTTTCTGTACCTAATGAATGTAAATGCAATAACGAGCTGTGAGTTTCTTCCTCTACAATAAATGGAAAACAAGACATTTATGCTCAGAAGACACCTGGCTTCTTACAGAACTTAAAAACTGGCAGAGTTAAGACCGCTAAGATCTTGTATTCAGGGGACAGGGTTTCCTCAAGCAACAGTCCAACAGCAGTAGATAGGCACAGAGTTAAAAAAAAAAAAATATCCTCCCACCACAACTCATCATTTGCTTCACAAAGTGTTGCTCTTCCTAAACATCTATGGGATAGGAAAAACTGCAGCCGGCTGCAGCGATACACTGAGAACGCTACGGCTGGAAGACACGCGACTTTGCGTCTTTAAACACACACACATCCTAACTTTGCCAGCAGTTAAAGCCGGTACCAAGGCGACCAGGCACGGCGAAAGCCTGTCTCTCGTTCAGCATCTCCATCAGCCCGCTACTGCCGGCCCCCGCGCCGCCTCTCCCGGTACCGAGCCATTGGCACGGCGGGCGCATCCCGGCGCAGGCAGCGCTACCCGGGCAGCCGCCAGCCCCGTTCGCTCCTTCGGGCCGGCAGAACGAAGAAGCCCAGCCGCCGGCAGCAGAAGTTTGCTGGGGAGGGACGGGGCTCCCGCAGCCGCGACGGCCGGCGCTCCTGCCAACCCGCGGGAGCAGCGCCGGTCCCCGGCTCCGTGCAGCGGGGAGGGGGGGACTGGAGGGGACCGCGGGACCGCGACCGCAGGGACGGGAGGTCGGCGGGGACGGAGCGACCCGGACGCGCTGCGAAGCCCCGGTTGCCACAGCAACGCGGCGGCGCCTCTCCCCAAACTTTGGTCGCTATAACGACGGGGCCGGGGCCGCGGCATCCCCCGGACGGGGCGGCTCTGCTCCGCCGGGCCGTCGGGGCGGCGCTCACCTATGGTGGAGACGACGGTGCCCACGAAGTAGAAGGCGCCGGGGAAGTCCCAGCGGGGCCGCAGGGCGTCGACGCGGATGCCCGCGGCCATGGCCGCCTCGTAGCTCCGCAGGAAGGCGCGCAGCTCCGGCAGGCTGATGTTGAAGATGCGGCTGAAGTTGTGGAGGGTCCGGTTCCAGCGGAGCTGCGCCGCCGCCTCCGACGGGCTCTCGAGGGCCGAGAAGACGGTGGCGCCGGCGCTCAGGTACGCCGCGATGAGGGCGGCCAGCAGCAGGAACCGCCCGTTGTCCTCGTTGAGGGGCGCCAGGCGCCGCCGGCGGCAGGAGCCCACCGCCCCCCGCGGGGGCAGCCCTGCCCTGCCCTGCCCTGCCCTGCCCTGCCCTGCCCTGCCCGCCGCTCCCCACTTGTCCCCACTTCTCCGCTCCCACCGCGGCGCCGGCCGGGCGGGGGGACGCGGCGAACGCGCTGGTCCCTCGGCATGTGTGGGATGCGCCGTGGCCGCTGCGGGGGTGGTTTGGCTTCAAAAGCTTTCCTCTACGCCCGGTGCCAAGAGGGTGTTTTTGGAGGGAGTTGGTGGTGGTCGGTGGAGCGGTAATTACTTAATTTCAGCCATTTCGAGATGAACGAAACGTTGTTTCTGATCTGACTCCACAGAGGTAGACCCAAGAAAATGATACATTTTGGGTTCGGTGCCAAATGCCCATTTAATCTTAGCTAGTGTCTGAAAAGTGATTTTTTCCTCCTAAGATGTTGGATTCTCTCTTTGCTGTTTGCCTTGGAACAAACAATGTAGCCTTTCTTATCTGTTATGCTGCAGTAAGAACTGCAGTCCTTTCCTGGGAGACTTGAAGTAAATAATTACATTCGTATTTTTAAAATAAAATGAGAATTCTCACTGATAAAGTATTGCAGAGAGGATGGGAGTGATGCCAGTCCTGCAAACATATGTGTAGGGGTTGATAACACGTGTAGGAAAGATCTTGGCTTGGAGGAGGAAATGCTCCCCACAATTTACAGTTGCCAGTGTCAGTCTTACTGAGATGGAAGCTTGTGCCCTGATTTATGGTTTTTTTTAGCCTAGGTTCTATTTTTTCTTTTTTTTATTTTTTTTTTTTTTTATTTTTTTTTTCTTTTTTGTCTGTATAAAATATTTGCTGCCTCTTGGTAGCTACATGATGTCTTTTAGCAAAGGGCTATTTGCCATCACTAGAACCTCTCCATAGCTTCACACATCTATTTCTTATTTTGGATCTGAGAAATTTTGCTTTGCCATGAGATTTCACATTATTGGCAGTTATCTCTTGGCCACCACATCCATAGCAGGAGGACTTCCTCCCTTTCTAAGAGACTATTCATACTTGTCAGGTGAAGAAAACGCCTTGGGTTTTACATCTGTGCTTCCTAGGAACAGAGTACTCTGATCAAAGTATGTTTTGATAGCCACTAATATGTCTAAACTTTGGGGTTTTGTCGTTATTGCTTTTGTGCTAAAGCATTTTGTTCAGTAGAGGTGAAAGTGTCTAGAAGTACCAAAGAAGATTTCCAATCTCCTTTTGTGCTCAAGGCGACCAATACCACATGCAACCCTTAAGAAAAAAAGTGTCTCCTATTTCAAAGTGTCAGTTGTGTCCCATTATAAATACTAAAACTGAATAAAAATTAAAAAAAATTAAACCAGTAAATCACAAACCCAATAGCTGGGCAAAGCAATAGCAGATCTCAAGGACATAAGAGGCAGAAAAACATTGGGAAAATATATCAGACCTGATCAAAAGACCATTGAAATGAGCGGAAAGTCTCCCATGGATGGTCAAGGGCTCAATGGGTCAGAAATGGGCCATTTAGTGCCAATGACTATAGCTGGAAATAATTTTCACTGTGGTATGGAATGATTACATGCAATCCACTGTGTCGGATGATGTAACACTAAGCTCACTTACCTGAATTTGCAGAAATTTTGTTGCTGCAGATGGACATCACTAGGTTGCTGGTGCTTTTGTGTTTACAGGGGAAGGTTTTGCTTTGGTGTTTTTTGGCTTTGTTTTTGTTTGGTTTTTTGGGGTTTGGTTTTTATTTTTTTTGTTTGTTTGTTTCATTTTGTTGCTTTTTTCACTTTCCTCTTGGGAACATTAAAAAATGAGGGTTCAGTTCTCTGGAGCCCTCAGCAATTTCACCTGCTGTGAGAGGCCCCTGATGTTTTTAGTGAGAATCCAGTTAGCAAAGTTTGTGTAAGTCATACCTCACCATGCCATGCCTTATCCCCTATTGGGGGATGGTTTCTTCTAGGTGGGGAGTGAAAAATTGGCCATTTCCTGGGGTGACAGGACAGTTTCCAAGCAGTAGAAGCTGACTGGCTCTGGAGTCTATGTTGCCCTCTCTGGAGATGTCCTGCCTGGGAAGGGATGATGCTGGTGGGATGCTGATTAGCTTGAGGAATCACCTCATAGATATGAAAGCCTACCAGTAACTTTCCATGAAGAAAAAAGCTCAGCTGAAGCAGCAAGGGACGTGGTTTAGCTGCTTCAGCATGGACAAGATTGTATTTCCAGCATCACCGAATCATGGTTTCTAAGAATTCGAGCTGTTGACAGATTTTCAAAATGTTTTGACAACTCATTTCGCTAAGATTTTTTTACTTGGAGTCTTGAAAATTTGTCACCATTTTGCAGAAATACTTAAAGGTTTTTTTTTGGTTATAAAGCTAGGGGGAAAATTTTCTTTTTTTTTTTTCATTAAAGTCCCACTGAAAATGTTTGGTCCTTTCCAAAGTAACTGGCTCCTGGAAAAACTCCATTAGCTAGATAAAAAAATCTTCCAGAGCTGTGGCTTAAAGGAAGGTCATAGTTTTGGGATGCTCTGATCTGGATATGAGAGTTTGAGGAAACATCCTGAAGCTGCTGCTGCGCCCCTGCTTGGGTAACACTCTTAAAGGCTGTCATATGGTTAAATGAAAGATGTTTTTCTGAATTTTCTTGAATAATTGAATGAAATCTTAAAGGATTTGGTGAAAACATCACTGTCTTTAAAACTGTTTGCCTAGATTTATTTTTTTTTTAAATCTGATGGTCAGGTGTACATTGGGCTTTATGCTAAAATTAGGTCCCTGAGATGTGGGAGTATTGTATGCATGACACCAGCCATTTGCTTTGTCAGGAGGTCAGTGTTTGTGAAAGCAATCATTTTAATAACCAAAATGTGATGTTTGTGTTATTATCTTGGCTGTGTGAAGTTAAGCTCGTGCAAAGAAACGAGATGGGCTCATTAAATGTTTAATTAAAGCATTGTCTGCAAATAGGTTGTACTGCTAAACATCACATCCCTTTATTAAGGAATAAAGTTTAAAACGGTGTTTTAAACCTGAGAAAGACCAGTTACTGGCAGTATTTTTTTTTTTTTTTTTTTTATGAGTAAAATCCTCTAAATTTCCTTCCAACCATGATTTGACTGTGTAACTCATAAGCCAATTAGCAAGACCTCTTCTTTTGACTTCAGGGATACCAAGACCTCCACATTTGTGTTTTCAGTTCCAGTACAAGCTTCACTCATACACGTCCCCAGTGATTTTGTAGCAAATATTTGCCAAGAAAAAATATCAAATACCTCACTCAGGAGCTTTTTACCACTATATTGAAGTAGTTATTTGGAAGTGTCTCATACAATCTGAAGGTAAACATGCAGTCCCTGACCTGAAATGTGTGACTTGTTTGCTGTAGCTGGACATATTTTCTACCTCAACAGTGACCAAAGGTAAATGGATTTGTAACTATTCCTGCAACTGGAATTAATGTGCAGATGGTTTTGTGTTGACCTCCATTCAGCCCAATATGGGCTGTATGAATTATTTTTTTTCTGTAATATGTACCAAGGAAATTGGTTTTCAGTGAGTGGCCTTATGGTGAGCCTGGGTACTTGACAAGCTGCACAGGCAATGACGTGGTGCTCTTCTTCTCCTTTGCCTTCTACTGGATATCAGGAAATTACCTTGTAATTAAAAAAAAAAAATGGATGAGGTAATTGGCAGTCTATGCAATCAGAGCCTGGGTAGCATTGTGAGCAAGGGTTTCAGTCACAATACATAACAGAAATTAATATGCCCAATTTTTAAGTTATAAATCTGGATACTTTAGGATAGAGGGCTCTTCCCAGTACCTGACTTAGTGTGATGACAGATTGAGACAGTGAAAATGTACCAAGTACAAAGTATTTGGGGATGAATGTGTGTTTCCATGGAACCTCAACTGTTACTACGGTCTCCTCACCCTCCCCAGGCAGTTTTAGGTTTTGAAACAGACCAGTCCTGTTACCCAAATAGCCTATTGTGTTCTCATGTCTTCTCTCTGTATCAGGGTGAACTTTTGGGGAGGGGAGAGAGAAAACAGGCAGGCTTATTACTGGCCTTGAAGCCATGAGTTGCCTGTTTCAGACAATTTGGTTGAAAATTAAGACATTTTATGTGTTGATTAGCAGGTGGCCCATGTGGAGTCTTGGCATGAAACGATTTCCAGGTAGCTGGGCTCTGTAAATCCCCATTGCTCTGCCAGTAGCACTCTGGCTTTCATGGAAGAAGAGCCAAAGTAGCTGATGAGATAAACTTGAGAATCCTTTGGGAACCATTTCTTGTCCTCCCAAACTCAAAATCAAGTCAGGGTGAGATGTAGGAGTCAGCCAGTGCAGGTTTTCGTGTGCTAGGTCGAACTGCTAGGGGATGCTAAGCTGTAGGGAAACAGTGTTGTTAGCCAAATACATGATTTTACTGGGAGAATATTTCCACAGGTTTAAGAGAAACAGGCAGCAATCGCTGTCTAAATCAGAGATTCCTTCATTCTTCCTGCTAATTTATGAATATGCAATGGCCTTTTGTTTTTATTTTTCCTGAGGCTCAGTGATCTAACTACTACTTTCTCACTTTCACTGCTCTCGCTGAGAATGATCTAATTAGTGTTGCCAATTACATTCAGTTTAAATCTGATGAATAGCCAATTTCAGAAGGCCTGATTCTGTCTAGTGCTCCGAGCATCCTGAGCACGTTAACTAGTTAATTAATTAATTAATGTGTTCTGACTTGCCTGTGCTGCCAGTGGAAGCTGCAGGCACCCTGCATCTTGCGCAGGTAGCTCTGTGTTCACATGACTTACCTTGCTCACCATTTTTGGTATGAAATCTCGCATTTTATGGGAAAACCTTCCCCTCTGCTGGCTTATGCTGTTCCTGCATTAGTTTTGCTAATTTGTTTTCTATTATTGCTTTGCTCAGGAAAATCTCAGTCAGTGGCTTGGCATGCAAGGGATTTTTAATACAATTTAATAATGGAAAGCTACTATTCTACTACTCAGAAAGATGTAGCTCTGT